GTGCATCATTCGGTTTACGAGCTCGTAAACGGAAACCTTTGTGTCGAATTATCTATATATTAATACGTGAAGCAAAAACTTTGCATCCCTTTTTACGAAAATTGCGCGGACGGAGGAGTATGAAATTTTCCACACTTATAGAGAATATAGAGAAGAAGTGCACAATGCTATTTTTTTTTTAAATAATGCATATAAAATACATTAAAGCAATAAAGAAAACATTACACACACTACATACCATGTATTTGACGCACACACGCATGCATACTATTTATTGTCAAACTTTTGTTCTTCACGTCTGTTGTCAGATAGAGAATAGAATATGGTTTGTCTTTGTTAATATTTTTTATAGTGTAGTCTTGGCGAAATTTGTGATTATAGAAGTATAAAATACAATCATAATAGTGTACAAACTTACAATTCCAATTAATTATAGTCGAATTTCGACTACTGCGGGACCTCTGGTAAATTATTAATCAACGACCGGTTAATTCGTGGCCCTAAAATACTATTTAAAAAAATAAAGAAATATATTATTGTAATTTATCTACGTACATAACTGATCACAGTTATTATTATTATTATTTTTATTTATAACTTCATATACTAGACAGTATAAAGGCGGACTTAATGCCATAGGCATTCTCTAACAGTCTACCTTAGGGGGGTGCAGAGATGAACCTTGGTAGATGTAGTGTGAAGGTGATATTACTTAAACATAATATGTGTATATATAACATACATAATTTCTATAGATACAAATACTCGTACTTAAATAAATGCATATACATAAATATATAGATATACATAAATATATACATATAAAAACATATATAAACAAATATTATCAATTAGATGACTCTGCTAACACTCTGAGAAACAGTTCTCGAACCCTCGTCTTAAACGCTTCACGTATAGTGGCAGACCTTATTTTGAGTGGGAGCGCATTCCATAGGAGAATAGACTGAATAGTGAAGGAAGAATGTCAAAAGTCAGAACTATGTGGAGGAGAGCGAAGAAGAAGATTGTGAGATGAACGAAGATTTCGGCTGTGGTCAGACCCTAAGTATCTAGACCCTTATTATCTGGAGTGTAAAGCTGCTTTCAGACTACGCTATACTATAATGCCATATAGTATAGCAGCCTATACTTTTTTTTTTTTTTTTGTCAGGAGGAAATCGCCGGACTTCCGCCCTTTTCTGGGGATACTGGGCGGGGTATGTCAGAGTCGAACTGACTAAAACCTCCTGTCGCTCAACAACCAACGTCCAAACCTCGCATGAGACAGAACTCATGACAAGGCAAAGGGGGGAAAGTGAAGCGTTTAGTGCGGAGCACATCTCTCCCATCACCCTCCCCCTCGGGACGCCGGACTGGCGGTCGTCGGCGCCACGACCACCAGCCCTCTCGGAGCAGCCTATACTTAGCCAATTATATATAGTACAGTACAGTGTGAACGTGTCTATAACAATGTATGGTGTGCGATATTGTTGTGCTATGAGCTATATACTATATGCTATTATATTATAGCGTAGTCTGAAAGCAGTTTTAGAAAATCCTACCCATTCTGGCTGAGCCTTTGCTTGCCCACCTTTCCTGATGGAACTGGAAAGACCTTCGGGCCATCGGTAATCCTTAAATAAACTCTTAAGAAAATAAAAATATATATCTGGAAGGACCATTGAAGTCTCAAACTATAAATAAAATAATTGAAGACGTGAGTGGATGAAGGGGTTAAGTACCATTTTTAAGATTTTTGAGTTTTTACATTGAATGAAGGTGTTATGTGCCTGTAAGCCACATTAGACTTTAAAACACTGGGTTTAAAGGCTTTTTTAGAAATTACATGTGATGAAGGAGTTATGTACGAAGAAAAAGTACATTTCTTTTTCCTACCTAAGCTGATAGCCTTGAGAGGTAATTCAGCGTAACCTTAACTAGTAGGTGAGCAGCATATTTGATAATTGCATGGCCGGCGTTTACGATATCTGATAATACTTGTATATCAATCAGTTAATATGGAAATATGACGACATCTCCCTGAAACTGCTACAGATTCTTTATGATCCGTTTAAAGTATCAATATTCTCGTCTACTTTCCTACGGAAATCCCTAAATCTCAACAATCTATTGCGAACCGGCTCGGTTGGGTGCATTGCATATTTCTACCGCGAATTAAACGCACATATGACAGCAGCTGCGTTATTGCAATTAAAACTTTAAAGTAATCTTATGTACCGACCATTCTCGCTAACAAAAACACATACTAAACGCTCTAAAGATACAAAGTTCCTCGCACGCGTCTAATGTCCGTTGCAAGTTCTTCAAATCTCATTTACATTATCAGTTAACGTGTTTACGTGAACACCTACTGTAGACATGTGCTAATAAAGATAAAAATCTTATGACTTCATTACATTATCGTTACGTACGCTTTTTCATTTTAAATTATTTAAATCATGACTAGCGGCGGACCCGACATGCGACATGCGTTGTCCTTTTAACATGTTTTAAATTCGAAAATTACACCGCTCAACACGAATGCACCGGACGTCTTATCCTTTAGGCCACGACGACTTCATAGTGCAATTGCACGTAATCTTTTTAAAGACTACACAAGATAAATTTAAGAGTATGCCTAATTGCATTACATTACGAATAGGGTGTCTTGATTACAAAATAATCTTTTTGTTATGGCTCAATGACAAAAAATATTGGTATCGAAAACGGTAGGCAGCGGCTTAGCTCTGCCCCTGGCATTGCTGACGTCCATGAGCGACGGTGACCACTTACCATCAGTTGGGCCGTATGTTCGTCTGCCTACAATGACAATAAAAAAATAAACTGGACTAGGACTAGGACCTTTGGACCACAGAGGTTCTACAACCATTATCCACAGCTCAGAACCTTTTTAAGTCTTACCACGTTAAATTGGTCTGTGTATCGCATCGTCCTGACTGACAAGTTTTAAACTAAAACTGATAAGCGTGAGTTTCATTAACACTTGTTTAGTTAGGTCGAGTTTTATTTCACACTAGCTGACCCGGCAGACTTTATAGTGTCTCAATCGATAAATAAAAGACCTAAACTTTTGTATAGAATAAACTTAAAACAAACAAAAGGAATCCGTCCGACGGGGGACACATCAAAGGGAAAACAAATTTGTTATTTTTTATTTAATTCCGAGCATTTTCATATTTATCTATCTACCTTTTAAACCTTCCCTGGACTTCCACAAATAATTCAAGACCAAAATTAGCCAAATCGGTCCAGCCGTTTTCGAGTTTTAGCGAGACTAACGAACAGCAATTCATTTTTATATATATAGATAGATAGATAAAAAGCTGAATTTAGAATTGAAATTGTTCGTACCAAATGTGGGTTTTAAAAATCGTAATAAAATATAGCTTCAGATATGAAATCGATAGATCACGCGCGAAAAGCATAAAGTGTGTGATTATTTTCGATGTTCCTTTGTTCTAGAATTCACAGTCAGTAATTACGCAAAAATTGATTACACGAAAACTTTTTTTTTTTCAACAAAAAATTGGGTTCCGCATTGCCATGGTTGCTTGGTATGATTTACAAAAAAAATGTTAACGCTTGAGATGCAAGCTGACTTTATGCCTTGATTCCTTTCATCATCATCATTCTTTCCTATTACCCTCTGCTGGGGTGTAGGGCTCGAATCAAATTTTTCCAATTACATCGGTCTTGGGCAGTCTGTTCTAGTTCCTCCCACGTCATGCCCAAGATCCTTTGGTAGAATAAAACTGGTTTAATTTTTATTATAAAATTGCCTTTCATTATAATGCTGATTAAATTTAAAGTTTTGAAAACCATTTTCTTTGTTAATTCATTCCAGTAATTTTTCGGATTGTTCAAACAATTTTTTTATTGCTTAGGTGGTTGGACGAGCTCACAGCCCATCTGGTGTTAAGTGGTTCCCGGAGCCCATAGACATCTATAACGTAAATGCCCCCCCTCCCTTAATAATAGACATTGCTGAAGTCCATGGGCGAAGGTAACCACTCACCATCAGGGGGGCCGTATGCTCGTCTGCCTACAAGAGCAATAAAAAAAAATTATGAGTTCTAAGATCTCAGTATAGTTACAACGGCTGCCCCATCCTTCAAACCGAAACGCATTACTGCTTCACGGCAGAAATAGACGGGGTGGTGGTACCTACCCGTGCGGACTCACAAGAGGTCCTACCACTAGTAGTTACGCAAATTATAATCTTGCGGCTTTCATTTTTATTACACGATGTTATTCCTTCACCGTTGAAGTCAATTCGTGAACATTTGTTAAGTACGTATTTCATTAGGAAAATAAGATATTCGTAGTTTTTTACCTAAAAGTGATGAAGTCTGGAAAAGGTGACGATCTTCTAATTAATGATAATTGCGTTGAATTATTCATGTGTCTGCATCTTCGATATACGGACTTAACTTCTGTTACTATTTTACTACATAAGATATAAAAAGTTTTTTTTTATTGCCCTTGTAGGCAGACGAGCGCACGGCCCACCTGATGGCGAGTGGTTACCGTCGCCCATGGACTTTAGCAATGCCAGGGGCAGAGCCAAGCCGCTGCCTACCAAAATTTAACAAACTTGTTGTAGTAAAATAGTAATAGAAGCTAAGTCCGTATATTGACTATGAAGTCGTAGTGAATCCTGAACATCATTGTCATGTAATCTAATTAGTAAAATTCAAAAACGGAATCGAAAGGCACGTGAGTTCACGTGGCGTCTCACTGTTGACGTAACAGGCTATTATAATGAACAACTTAAAGAATAAGGCCATATTATAATCTAAAGAATAAGGCTTAAATTATTGAACAGTGCGTTCAATACAGCGTAAAAGTTAGCTCATATTTGTATGGAATGGGATCGTTTGCCTACGCTAGGGGCGCTGTGACTGCATACAAAGTTAAGTGGATTAACTTTTACGCTATCGAGAACGTTAAAAAACTCGCACTGAGCACACAGTACTCACTTCCGGTGAGCGGCGTGATCGCTTTCTCGCCTTCGTGCTGGAACATCTGCAGCGTCGCGACCGTCGCCTTCAGCTGTTCATACTCGCGAGCCATCTGTTTTTGTACCTGAAACAAACAACGTCTCGGTATTAATTAATCTTTTTACTGTTGGTAGAACCTCTTGTGAGTCCGGACGGGTAGGTACAACCACCCTGCCTATTTCTACCGTGAAGCAGAAATGCGTTTCGGTTTGAAGGGTGGGGTAGCCGTTGTAAGTATACTGAGACTTTACAACCTATATCTCAAGGTGGGTGGCGCATTTACGTTGTAGATGTCTATGGGCTCCAGTAACCACTTAACACCAGATGGGCCGTGAGCTCGTCCAACCATCTAAGCAATAAAAAAATTAAAATTTTCAGGAAATGAAAAAAACTGATTATTTTCTAAAGCAGTGTAAATTTTAAAATATTAACTTTTGAGATATATTTTAGTGTTAATTAGGAATTGAAAATTACTGGAATCATTATAAAACGGGTGTAGGTAAGCCTCAAAACTACATGTTAATGAAAAAACGTATTTGACAAAATATGCGACATGTCGACTCTTTTCGAAATTGCATATTCAATATTAATCTTCACCACCAATTTACTACTGATGTTGAAGTTTAAACAAATTTCACTTTTCGCGTCGACGACGCCGGCAAAGCTGAAACTTTTTTTTAATTATTAAAAAAACTCAAGGCTCACACGAAGCATATCGGATTTATTAAACGATTATTTTAAGTGAACATCAATCAATACACAATAACGTACGTACGTAGCAAATGAGTCTTCATAAAAGTGAAATTCTCAACTGCCCGCAAACAATCGCCCACGTCTTTACAATAAACAAAAAATATATGTTTTAATCTTCCCACACGTATCTCGAAACACTTCGGTTACGGCACGACCATTTCCACTTATTTCCAGCTTAACTTAAATAAGGTTTTACGGGGTAAAAAACAATTGAATTTAACACGCGGCCAACGTTTCCTTGACCAAGTTACATATTAGTTTAATTACCCGAAGGCCGTCAAAACAGAGCGCTGGGCGGTAATTAGAACTACCCACTATCGAGTAACACTTTCACTATTCACGTAAGACACGATTAACGTTCTTTTGTGTGATGTTTTAAAGGCGATAATCGATTGTGGATGCGTGACGCGGTATCAGTGCGCCCTGCTCGGATTTGTGAATTGATATGCGTCACTTATGTATCGGGCACGGTGTTCGGGGGTTCAATGACTCCTGAGCCGCATGACAGCCGAGAGGCACAATAAAAAACGACCATGCCGAATATACTCGACAATAGAACAAATGCTTGGCTTATATCCAGCCCCTGAATTAGACTGGGTGACCTAAACCACATCAAAAACCGCTTTGTACGAACGTATCTGATTCCGTATACGGAAGTTTTTTACATGCAATATTATGCACATAAAAGCCAAATTTAATTTACAATATTGCTTTCTCGCCGTAAAAACACGTGGTTACGAAAAGGAACGTGTTAAAAGATGATTGATTCACTTTGTACCTTATAGGTTTTTTTTTATTGCTTAGATGGGTGGACGAGCTCACAGCCCACCTGGTGTTAAGTGGTTACTGGAGCCCATAGACATCTACAACGTAAATGCACCACCCACCTTGAGATATACACTCTAAGGTCTCGATATAGTTACAACGGCTGCCCCACCCTTCAAACCGAAACGCATTACTGCTTAACGGCAGAAATAGGCGGGGTGTTGGTACCTACCCGTGCGGACTCATAAGAGGTCCTACCACCAGTAAAAGGTGCTAAATCGGCTAAAGTCATAGTGCCCATACCAGATAAATTCGAGGTGCATAATAACAAACAATGCAACCATAACATGCTAGATAGCATACAACTAAAGTAGTGTAGGTACTTATATACAATTACGTTCTAACTCGAAAGTTTTTCTGAGAAATTAGAAACGCTATTTATCCAAATGAAATAGATGAATTACCATCGTCAAATACTTTTATTTCATAACGCGTTAAGTATCGAAGTAAACTTTTAGTAAACGAACTAAGAATTGTTTTTTTTTTTTAAATAGGACGAATTAAAAAAAAGCACATACGAATTATTAGCTCGGCAATCACGATTTACTGAAAAAAAATTAATATCGAACATTTCACGGATTATAATCAACCTTAGTCTTACTTAAATAATTTTTCGTAAAATATTAAAATCAGTATAATATTTCGATGCCTCCAATGAACACTACTCTAACTCAAAATTTTGAAATTTTGGTTTTTCACGCAAATCGCTTCACTGTGCTAAAAGTATTACAATTAATCATTATTGATGGGGTTCGAAGCAAGAGTAAATCAGCTAGTTACACAAAAAAACCATAAATGAGTCGTCTATTATCAAAGGTGGCAATCTGTGCATTTGGACAAAAAAAATTTATTGATATGTCAATACAGATTGATTTGAATATAATCGTCTCCTTCAAAGAATACGGTTCAAAACCTGCATTAAATAAAGGTTAATACTTAACCTGTTATTTATCTAAGATGTCGTTCCGAAGAGTTTTGTGACTGCGAATGGAATACAAAGTCAATAATTCGTTTTTCTGATTTACCAATCATTGTCCAAAAGTCAGATTGCCGGCTTTGATAATAGTCGACTCAAATATATCTGCAATTATAAAGATTTTATCAACTTTTTTCGTTTAAACGCTCCTCCTTACTAAATCTACGAATTTGGAGTTAGCGTAGTGTTCATTGGAGGCATCGATCTGAGAAGGTAATTAATTCTACCGAAATACGTAATGACAATTTCGAATTTTTACATAAAGACATTCAAGCAACACAGTTTCCTTATAAGGTACCTACACATTAGCCAAATCGCCCGGAACCCAGTTTTCGTTTTTAGAACATTACTAATTTTACTAATTTCCCTCGTTTATATTTATGTTTACTAGAGGTCCCGCAGTAGTCGAAATTCGACTATAATTAATTGAAATAATAAGTTTCAACATTATTCCTTCCGAGGCTTATTATTGTCCTATTGTTACAGATTTCGTCAAGACTACACTATAGACCAGTGATTCTCAACCACTGTTCCGTGGCACTTTTGTGTGCCGCCAAATTTTGGGAATATATAATAATGTTAATATTATTAAATTATATCATTTTAAAAGAAAAATATTTTAAGCATGAATATATATTTAAATCCACAAAAAAAAATTATAGTATATTTTAGTTTATTTCGTATATTAAAATTTTTTGATAAACTATTTATGCAGTGTGTTGTAGTAAGTAAATAATTTTTTTATTTTTTTTTTGTGTGTCGCCAAATTTTGAAATCGTTAAATATGTGCCGCAACAAAAAAAAAAAAGGTTGAGAAACACTGCTATAGACAAATGCTCGCAATATTAAAGATAAACAATACTAATCTATTCTCAATTTGACTAAGTTTGACAATAAACAAAGAGTGTATTTATGTGTGTCAAATACATGGTAGTGTGTGTAATGTTTTCTTTATTGATTTAATGTATATTTTATGCATTATTAAAAAAAAAAAAATAGCATTATGCACTTCTTCTCTATATTCTCTATAAGTGTGGGAAATTTCATACTCATCCGTCCGCGCAATTTTCGTAAAAAGGAGTACAAAGTTTTTGCTTCACGTATTAATATATAGATTACAGTCCTTACAAAACAAGATCGTTTGTATCATAATATACAGCGCCCAGATTACGGATGAATAAGCAAGGATTCACATCTAATCCTTAAAACGAAGAAATAGTTACAAATCTAATTTTGGAAGTCATATGTGGCATCAAAGTTGGATATCCACGGCCGCTGTGAGGGACGGGCGTGATGATAAATTTTCAGTTGAATCTCGCGTGTTCTACAAACATTTTTAAAAACGATTCCGGTATTATATTTTAGATTCAATCGTGAGTAGAAAACTTTTAGTGAACGTGACTAATCGGAGAGATAAAATCGGGAAGGCCGTGAAGTTCTTTGTAAATGTCCAAAATTATCTTTTTTTTTTATTATTGCTTAGATTGGTGGACGAGCTCACAGCCCACCTGGTGTTAAGTGATTACTGGAGCCCATAGACATCTACAACGTAGACGCGCCACCCACCTTGAGATACAAGTTCTAAAGTCTCAGTATAGTTACAACGGCTGACCCACCCTTCAAACCGAAACGCATTACTGCTTCACGGCAGAAGTAGGCAGGGCGGTGGTACCTATCCGCGCGGACTCACAAGTGGTCCTACCACCAGTAATTGCGCAAATTATAGTTTTGCGGGTTTGATTTTTATTACACGATGTTATTCCTTCACCGTGGAAGTCAATCGTGAACATTTGGTGAGTACGTATTTCATTAGAAAAATTGGTACCCGCATGCGGGATTCGAACACCGTGGCATCGCTTCAACACGAATGCACCGGACGTCTTATCCTTTAGGCCACGATGACTACTAAATCTGCCGAAGCAATCAATATTGTGCGCAAAATAAAACGCTAGAGCCCAGTTTCTCGTCGGATCTTCTCAGTGGCTCGCGATTCTGATCTATTGGTAGATTCAGCGAAGGACTACTCTTGCTAGGACTCGCGTAGCCGCTCAGGTAGGCGATGCGGTTACCTGTCTATTTACGTTTGGGGTTTCCGCGTCGAGAATACCGAATCGCAATTAAATATTGAAAAGAAACGGCTGACTCAGGATCGACCCGGCGTCAAGTACCTACGAACCTGATGACACCTCAAAATTTGGCCCTAAAACTTTTCGTCTTGAACCACGAAGTCGAAATACCTATTACAGAGTAACGGTTCAAAATAAACTCTTCCAAAGCGCAAGTACCTACTTCGCTATAACATAATATAGTCGATATTATTCACTTCTTTCCATCATGTTCATTCCGCATGAGGAGATCCCCAGAAAAAAAAAACCGCATTGTTTATAAGCGTTATCGAAACACTATCGTATGAAAAACTGTAATTTTCGATTCTAATCATACAGTTACGTGTGATAGAACGCTAATATTCAAATGCTTGGTGAAAAACGCATCGCCCACCAGCGCGCCAGTAAAAGTGTAACAATTTAATT